ATGAGATATTCTAACCATATCTTTGCGATTTCTATAATGTTTTTGGGATTTTTGGAAAGATTTATGATGGACCTGTATTTCGTGATTTGCTCTTAGCCTAAAAGGCTACGAAGTACAAGCCCTGTTAGCCGAATGGGTTGTGGCCGCAAATGAAATAAGGTGGCTCGGCCCAATTAGGGGCACTGGGCAGGCTGAGCTTAGTCCATCTATTTGGGCCTAACGGCCCTAGCGAATGTGGTGGAGGCAACCACGGTCCACGGCGAAATACAACAGAATTCATCGAAACTAATGAGTGGGCAATTTAATCATTTTATATTTTACTAATTAAAATTTTATTTTGATTATTGTAAAAAGCGTTTGTGTCTTTTAAGGGCACAAGTTTAAGAGTGTAATAAGTGTATTTTTTTATAATTAATTTACATTAAAAATTATAAAAATTAACATATATTTTAACATTACTGATACATGAATGATTTTAATTAGTTAATTAATTAAATTAAAATTAATATTTACACTTTGAATAAAAATTAATTATAAAAAATATATTTATTACATTTTTATCTTATACCCTAAGAACAAATATTTAAAAAATCCTTATAAAAAACTATTTTAATTAAACCTTATAATGATTAAACATAAAAGCTTTCTGCACCCGTAGCTTTACCTATCTTGATTAAGGTGTAATAAACTCTTGGTAAATATTAGGATTTAATACACTGCAATAGCAATTATTATTTCCCTTCCCCCAAATTTCTCATGCTAAAAAAAAAAAAAAAGCATAAAAGCTTCCTACTAATATCCAATAAAAATAAAAACTATATATACTTGAGCCCATTTAAGCCTATTTTCTATTTCAATTCTAATTATTTTAAAAAGCCCATCTTTTCTATCCCCTCCGTTCAACTTTAATAAGTCAATTGCTCATGAAGTAATGAGCCTCAAAGGGGTATGTACATTGCTAGAAATTTAATACTTCTAGTGAGAATTTTTCACATTTAAAACTTAAAACAAATGACAATAAATTTGTAAAATAAAAAATTATTTT